GTGGGAGGGTGAGAGGATTCACCAGACAGAGAGCAGGGAGCAGAACAGGCAGACGACTGAAATACACTGCGAGGGGAGCAGCGGGCGAGACAGGAGAGGTCTGCTGCACCATGTGGGTATCTCCCTGGCTGGCCAGGAATCGAACTGGTGTTGCAGAGGCTGTGGACAGCTTCACAGCACAGCATTCAACCCACTGCGCCACCGGGGAGGCCCCAACTCAGCAAGTTTTAATGCCTGCACATTTTCCTTGCATGTTATTCAAGTTTTATAAAGACATGATTCAGTAAGTGTCATGAGAAAATAAGAGTTTGACTAAGTATAGGTTGTGATTTATCTTTGAATAGTATTATTCAATAGAGCATGTTGTGAGAATCTGTCCCTTCAATTTTCATATTCTTCCCTCTGTTCTTTTACCAGACATACATTTATCAGTGGTGTCCTAGAGCCTTTATTTTCCTTCTGTAAAATGGGTCAGTAATTCCCAGAGATGATAGCTTAAATATTTATTGAATAGAAATACAGGTGTCAGAGAGAGGAAAGGTGCTGATTAAGTCTTGCTGGGCAAAACACCCGAACCACACCTGTGAGGTAAGATGAATATAAGAATTAAAATAAATGGAATAGGACACTATATGTAAAGAGCCAGGAAAAAATGTCTCACAGCTGTTAACTAGGTTTAAAAATGTTAGCTACGTGCTTTGTTTCCTTATTTGGCTGAGCTGCCAACATTAATTGAACAGAATTACAGAGTAAGATATTTAAAAATGTTTAGGATTGAATCGAATCAAATCAAGGACTGATAACATAGATGAATAAATCTCAGACCTTGTTTAAATTTGGCAAAGGCTAGGTAAACTATTGCAAAAGCCAGAAAAAAGTTTCTTTGTACTATGATGAAATTTATAATGTAAATTCCATGATAAATGGAGGACCCAAGAATCAATATATTTTCTGCTTAATCATGACCTCTTCTTGAGCTTATTTGCAATTCCCTGATTGCCAAAATAAAGCTTGATAATTTAATGCCTGTGGAGAAAGCACATTCTAATCTCCCTGGAAAATCTTAGTGGAAGACACAGCAATGAGGACTGCATCCTCAGGTTCAAGTTGATCCTGTAATAGTCGTGGGTAAATTTCAAAAGCATAAAAAAAACAAAAACAAAAACAAAAAGCCTCAATGAAAATGAGTTTCTCTCAAAGGCAACAGCTTAGGAGAGTTTCCTTGGCATATTTGAATTAGATATTATTCACAAAGCAATTTGTTTAGTTTTTTAAGAGGGCTAATGTCTAGAATGCCACGAGAACTTCTATTTTAAACCTCCATTACCGACTGGGACTATCCATCCTACACAGCAGTTTACAATCTTTAATAGCTGCTTGTATCATTAGTTTCTCAACTTGTAGAATTCCCTTCTTTTTGTAACAAATAGATCAAGGGTGTGCATAGTGAGACGTAAAGGAGTTTCTATTAAATTTTCTTGTTTAAATCAGCAAAAAGCTTGTGACTAACATGTTGAGCCTAGACAGTTTTTTCTTTAGTCTATGGCTACAAGAGGCTGCTGTGTACAGAGGAGGGTGTGATCGAGATTGCCCAGCTGTGCATCAAATTCGTTTACCTTGGGTACAGAGCTAATTTTTGGATAGTTGCACTGAGACTGGTTGCTGTAGCTATCTTTGCATTTAGATAATGCTGGCATGTTAGCCGCATAGAATTCCGTACTCAGTTCCTTCCCGAGGCTTTGGACGTTCTCTGTTATTTCTTTGAACAAGCTCTTTGCTGCCATTTTCTTTTCTTTACCTTCTGGGCTACCCATAACCCTTACACTGCCTTTCCTAATGGAGTCATATAAATAGAGTGTTCCTGCATTAAAAGGGATCTTTTCTCTCTTTCACCTGAATAATTTCTAGGTTTCTAATCTTCAAGTTCACCGATTCAGTCTTCCATTTGATCTATTTCTGTAATTTCCTGTAGTTATCTTGGCCTCATTTATTGAGTCCTTCAAGTCCTGCATTTGTTAGGAATAAAATTAACAAGCAGAAGAATGAACCTGAGTTCTCTTGTATGTCTCTGAATTTCTTCCTGATGATTGTTTTTAATTAGGGTCTATTCTGCCAAGTATTTAAGTTCGGTGTCTGGATAGTTGTCCCCCCCTTGTGAAGTCACACTACGTTGACGTCTCCTCTGCTGGTATATTCCTCTGTCTGTGTATCTGAGCTGTCGACCCACTTTCTCTCTGTCATTTTTTAAAATGACACCAGCAACTCAGTACTCAGCTGTTTTTCTTTTATAACACTGGTGCTATGACTTTAATTTTGGATTTTTGTTGGCAGCTGTGGATGCCAGTGATGGGGGATGGTGGACAAGCTGTCGCTGGGTCAGCGGGTGGTAGTGGGACATGGCGGGGATCAGTGCTGTTGGGGACACCTGGGGGAAGCCTGGTTTGCATGTGTCATCCTCGTAGCTGCATCTCGGACCCCAAAGAGAAGGGCTATCGGCTGTTGGTACCCCATCAGACACACTCCCTATCAGCAACTTAGAGGCTAAGGGAACTTAAGCAAAAAAAGAGGAACAGTCCCATGTCTCCGTTACCCCATGGCAGTCACCACCAGGGGAGCCTGACACGGACGGCTTCTCCCTGCTCTCGCGTCGCCACTGAGAAAGCCGCACATCAGGATTTTTTATTTAAGATATATTTATTTATGCATTCAAGAGCTGGGGTGCAGGCCAGAGATGCAGGGGGTGAGAGGATTCACCAGAGACAGAGTGGGGAGCAGAAAAGGCAGACTGACTGAAATACACTGCTGAGGGGAGCACACACATTAGGATTTTAATGCCAAATTTGAGAAATGGCTCACCCTAAAAAATGGCAAAAATCTACCTCTATGATGGTGACAGAAGGTGGCCTGGGAAGAAGGTGAAACCGCAGGCTTTCTGTTGGGGCAGGGCAGGGCTGGGCCTGCACTGTGCTCTTCCCACAGGTGCTACGGTCTTGGTGTCTGGTCCTGTTTTGCAGTCTCTGAGTAAAGGAAAAGGGCTGGGAAACCCCAGACGCTAGTCCTGGAAGTGAGGGCTGAAATTTGCACACCCATCGTATATCATCCCAGGTTGAGGGCCGAGCAGTGGGTACATCCTGGAGCTGATGTTCTCAGTGTGGTGTGCAGCCTCTGGAGCCCAGCAGTCTGTTGAAAATTTCACTGATCTGGGCCTCCCTGATGGTGCAAGGGTTAAGACGCAACCTATGAAGCTGTGCACAGCCTCTGCAGCACGAGTTTGATTCACAGCCAGGGAGTTACCCACATGGCACAGCAGACCTCTCCTGTCTTGCCCACTGCTCCCCTCAGCAGTGTATTTCAGTCAATCTGCCTGTTCTGTTCCCCACTTTGTCTCTGGTGATTCCTCTCACCCCCCCCCACATCTCTGGCCTGTACCCCAGCTCTTGTGTGCATAAATAAATAAATCTTTAAAACGAAAAGTCAAATATTTCACTGATCCTAAGTCATTGTTAAGGTCTCATGTCTCTACCGTTTCGTGGGTTCTATCCCCAGAGATCCTGACTTAATGGGTATAGATTTAGCCCAGGCTTTAGAAGGTTAAAGCTACCCACTGTGTAAAGCACTGGGGAAAGCTCATCTATACCCGAGACTGACTGTGTGCAAAGATGTACCTTTCCAGCAGAGAGGTGTGTCATTAGACTACAAAAGCCATCCTTTTGGGGTCTCACCTGATGGGGGACTTTTAGAGCAGTGGGCTGGTGGCATTTGCTCTGTAAATTATTATAATTCATTCAGTTTAAAGAATCTACTTAGAATTTTATTTATCACAAAGAAGTAAACATTAAAACTAAAAAACTGGAAAAGTACAATATATGTACAAGTTTAGCGGGCATGCTCACCCATATGTTTCTCAAAGATAATGATAGTAGTCTTTAAAAATGGTTTGGAAAGGGTTTTTATTACTACATGCAAGCATGGCTAATAGCTCCTGGATGTCTATGGCATACGGGCAAGGAGGTCTGTATCCTTATTTAGCAGGTGAGGAAACTGAGGCAGAGAGTCCTTGGATGTTGTCCAGTGTAGCCAGAGGCAGGCTGATTTCAGCACTTCGGAGTTATTGAAAGAAAAGTACAGGTTTTAAAAGCAGTGAGAATGTATACATGCTTATATGCTTTTCATCTGTTAAGGGCATACAAAATATTTCAACCTATGGCCAGCTATAGATAAATGAAAGCAACATTTACTTGTGTGTGGATCGGCCACCCAGCACCAAAAATACAATGGCCCTGGGCCTCCCGGGTGGCGCAGTGGCTGAGCGCTGGGCTGCAAAGCTGCCCGCAGCCTCTGCAGCGCCGGTTCGATCCCCGGCTACCGGCGAGGGTCCCACATGGTGTGCAGACCTCTCCTGCCACCCCCTGTTCCCCTCAGCAGTGTACTTGGTCAGTCTGCCTGTTCTGCTCCCCGCTCTGGCTCTGGTGAATTCTTTCACCCTCCTGTGCTTCTGACTCTACCCAGTGCTTGTATAAATAAATAAATAAATCTTTAAAAAAAAAATACAATGGCCCCTTTGTGTGACGGCGCACCTATCCTGTGTATTACTGCAGTCCACCTCACTCCACATGTTTCTCTATTTCCTTGCAATTCCATGGATATCTTAAGCTCTTTAACAACCCTATCCACTTTCCTCTCATGTAGGTAATAATGCTCCTAAATATTGCTGATTTTCTTCATAATTTAACACATATGTATTTATCCCCAAATAACACATTGTTTATTTAAAAAAAAAACTGTATAGATTACATTATATACTGTTTAAAACTTTGCTTTTTCTCAATATTTCTAAATTTCATTTTCATGGTACTACTTCTAGCTGTATTTAAGTTTTAATTTTCAAAGAATATATTAATGTAACACAATTTTATTGTTTTGATCTATTTGCTTACAATTTATCTGCTTTTCAAGTCCTGGTACCAGAAACATTTTATGTATGTCTCCTTACATGTTAGGGTGTATGGCCTGAGGAAAGCCTGGCTCATAAAAGATGTACTTCTCCTATCGTCTTGTGAAACTTTGAAATCTTGCTTAGTTGGTGAGTACAAATTCTAGTATCAGAACTTGTTGAAAGTTTACAGTGTAATGCACCTTTCATGCCTTTTGTCATTTGCCTTTTACTCTTGCTATAAAACGAGTATCGTTTCCAATTTTACTAGAGGATTATCTGCTCTGATCCCATCGTGAGTTTAAAAAATTACATATTCTGCTTAACAATCCTTTCCAGTTTTATGTGATGCAAATGTTTTACCAAGTTTGGTTTATCTTTTATAAATGTAGCTTCTACTTTTTAATGCACTGTTGATTTTTTTTTATAAGTATTCCCACCAATATCAGATACACATGGTACAATTTTATCTTTTAGTGACTTCGTGGGTTTTTTTTTTTGTATTTTCACATTGATATTTGTGTATGAAATTGAATCCCCAGTGCATACCATTCTTTGACACAGGTAATTACTCTAATTCCTTGTTGGAACACCATTTTCAATTTTCCATACACAGATCTTTCTATTTCATTGGATTGTCCCTTTTTGCACTAACACTGTTGTTTCTCTGGCATAGAACCTAGACTAGACACATCTCTACATTTGTTTGACTCTTCAGAAGTGTCTCGGATGTTTAACTTAATTTTCTCATTTAATTTCCCAGTAGTGAGTCACCTTTTAGTGGAATGCCAAACTCCAATCCAACTTGCTTGCAGCTTACCTTGACTTTGTATTGAAAGGTCCACCCTCCTGATTATTAACTCAGGATTTTGTTTCCATAATTGCCAATGACAATGTGCTTATACGTTTTAAATTCTCATGTTCTTCTATGATGCAGATGAGATGATGCTGGTTTTGTACCAGCATTTCATGAAGATATTTCCTGTTTTCTATTCTATGAAAAAGCTTTAAAGAATTGCAATCATCTGTCTTTTAGTTATTTGTAAATACTGATTATTAGTAATCTTGATAAGGGATATTCCTTAGGTCAGTGGATTTTGGTGCATTCTATTTTTCATGAAGTTCAATTCTTACAACTTTCCAGATTTATTTCAAATACTACATCCAAAATTTGATTTATATTTGCATTTTCAAATATTTGCATCTCAAGAAATACTACTCTAGGATAACCTAAAAGGGGTCCCCTTTTTTTCTTTAAAAACCTTCATGGGCCTCCCCTGGTGGCGCAGCGGTTGAGCGCTGGGCTGCAAGGCTGCCCACAGCCTCTGCAGTGCTGGTTCATTCCCCGGCCACAGGCGAGGGTCCCACAAAAAAAAAGAAAAGAAAAGAAAACCTTCACTGAGACCAATCCATTATAGCTCCATCCATGTTGCTATGAGGGGCATGAGTTTGTTTTTTGAGTGCTGAATAGTATTCCATTGCATATACACACCACAGCCATCTATTTTTGGGCATTTGGGTTGTTTCCATACCTTGCCTATTGTAAACAGTGCTGCAATAAACAGAGGTGCAGGTGTCCTTTATGAATTAATGGTTTTGTGTCCTTTGGGTAGATTCCCTAGTGGAATTGGTTGGTCAGATGGAAGCTCTATTTGTTAGTAGTTTGAGGAAAAGTATTGGTGGTTTCACTTATGGGAGGAATGTAGGGAACCAAATAAGGGACCGGGAAAGAAAAATATAATCCACAAAATTAACAGGCAGTTGTTAATCAGAGACGTGTGTGTATGTGTATGTACAGGGATCAAAATAGGGGCAGGAATATGTTGGTATACAAGGGGCTGTGGTGATGGTGTATGAGTGAGTTGGTGAGAAGAATGATGTAAAATATATAAAAAATAATTTAACAAACTTTAGTGTTTATTCATTATGTTGTCATCATCAACATGTCTTGTGCTCTTCCCTCGCCCCTGCTGACCATAGATGAGTCACTAAATCAGTGTAGAAAAGTGGAAAGACATGCTTTTATAAATTGTATGGGCTTTGAATGTTTTGCTAAATATGGTCCCATATAAATTTTGTAATCATGGGACAAAAAGCTGTTGTATTCATGAAGACCATTGGGCATTTTTTTGAATTTCTGTTTATCAAAAAATTCACATTCTGATTTAATATGAAATTTTTTATTGAGGAATCCTTGGCTTACAACAGTGTATATTTTAGGGTTACAGGTTCATACTATTGCCTCAGCATTAACAGTCGTTCAGTATAGTTGACGGGGCTCCCTCCCTTTGGTCTCTACACCCTCTACTCGTTGTATACAAATAAAGTTCATGTTTGCAAAATTTCAAGTTATGGCAGTTTATAAAGTGGTGTCTCAGATTCATTGAAAATACTTAATGGGATGTAGTGATCGTAGTTCCCAAACGAGGCCTACTTTAAGTATTTTGTTCTGCACCCAGTGTTGTGATTTCCAGCAAGTAGAAGTGGAGGGTTAGTGAAGTGCACTAATGGGCCCATGTAGCTGATTAGATACAGGTGGTTTAAGTAAGATTGGCAGGACCTGACAACAAGCCCTTAATCCTATTGCCCTAGTAATAGGTGCTCTAAAGTACGGTAGGTTGGAGGTCTCTCCAGTGGCCTAGGGGTTTAAGGCTCAGTGCTATCAATGCAACAGCCTGAGTTCGAGCCCTGGCCAGGGAGCCTCACGCAGCTATAGTGCAGCGGACCTGTATGCTGATCTGCTGCGTGTCTAGTGTGCGTGTCTAGTGTGCGTGTCTAGTGTGCGTGTCTAGTGTGCGTGTCTAGTGTGCGTGTCTAGTGTGCGTGTCTAGTGTGCGTGTCTAGTGTGCGTGTCTAGTGTGCGTGTCTAGTGTGCGTGTCTAGTGTGCGTGTCTAGTGTGCGTGTGTGTCGGGCTTGCATCCAAGAGGTGGAGTAGAGGGCTGGGCGCCTACTTGGCCTGGTTTCCGCTTACTGGAAAAAGCTGCCAACTCCGTTGTGTCCTCCTCCTGTCTGTGCCAATAATAACAGCTGCTACTGTTTGTTGCCTGCCTTCCCAGATGTTCTTATTTTAGGATGGCAGAGTAAGAAAGAGCTGTGGTCATTTTTCAAGGGTTGATACATGAACCACTGAAAGCGGAGTGTTGCCCCTTCCCTGTGGCTCCCTAGGGGCCGATTTCTTATTTCCCGCTCTCCGTGGAACCCTCCCCCGTGACTCTGACTCCTCCAGAGTGGAGCTGAGCACTGCCATCACCGTGTCCACTCTCCCTTGTAGGTGGTACATTTACTGAAATACTCAGCCAGGTATGCGGCTTTATATACTTTTACACCTACCTGTGTCATTTACCACCCCAATAGACAGAAAAATTACACTCACACACCTTTAGAATAACCATCATTCTGACACTTAGTACTGTCAGGTTTTTGCTATACCTTTATATAAATGAAACAGTATTTTTTTTTTCTTGGCAAGTGAAATTTCTTACACTTCTAAAACCACGTTCTTATGCTTTGATGGCTGGTGCTCATCAGGACATAAAGGTATACAGTCTATAGTAAAGGTATTAGCTTTAGCTCTCCATGTGCAAGGGACTGTGTTCTTGGCAAAAGTCATCCTCACAATCACAATATAAAACCAGTGCAGATGGCTTAAGGTTTTAAACAGAAACTGAACTTAACAATTATCAACAAAAACTGACATTGCTAATAATGTTGCCACTGGAAAAAAAATTCCATGAGAGCTAATTTCAAAGCATTTATGAACTTGGTCATATGGCCTCTAACCAATGCCAAATTTTCCTAAAAGGAAGTTTCCTTTTCCCTGACCCTAGTTGGTCTTTTTTGAATCCATCTTTTATTAAATACCTAAAAAGTTAACTTGTCGGCAGAAACCTTATAAAACTTAACAAACACACAAAGACCTTATATACTTTTCTTGGAGATCTTTAGCTACACGCATTAGTAAATTCTTGTGTTCAACTAATTTAATATGCTGGAGAAAATTCTTTCTATTAAATACTTAAGATATACAGAAAGGGAAAATGTGAGATCACATTTGTGTTCTAGCATCTGGAGTGTATTATTTTCACTAACTTGATTTAACCCTTATGATCCACTTAGTTGTAGGCAGAATATAGGTTCATCTTTTGTGCAATCTTCACCTTTCCACTACAGTGCTCAGCGAGCCTTTTCTGCTCCCTATTATTTTTTTAATCTTACCTACCCTTTAAAATATTTTTCATTCATTTCTTTGCATTTTTGTTTTTCCCCAGTTTCAGTGAGAACTAACTGATGAAGGTGTGGACAGTTTGATTTGCATGAGTGGGGCAACCACCACCCATTAGGTTGTTGCCCTCTGTCTTGTAGAAAAATACAGTAAGATGATAAGGAATGAGGCTTGGCTGGGATCTCTGGGTGTGTTTTCTGATAATGTGCGTGGGGCTTCCTGCTACTCTCTTTTGGGGCAAGGACTTTGCTCCAACCCTCAAGATGGTGTCACTTGAGGAGAACAGACCATTGCTATGGTTCCCTCCCACATGGGCTACAAGGAGGGCTCACCTGGATTCTCTGTTTTGCTAGATGATTGGCACAGGGTACATTACCAAGTGGACTTAAGGTCAGTACAACTCGATGTCTGGGTTGAAGAAGGCCTGACCGTGCGCTGAATCCCCTGGGCAGGTGAGCTCACCAGCTGGTTCTGCAGACAGGGAGGCCACAGGCTACTGTTCTCTGTTCTTCCAATGTCCCATGGCTGTGCAGCCTTCTGGGGGTGCTGGTTAGATTCTGGGTGAGTGGGGCTATGGCTGAATCACTCCTGTGCTCCGGGAGTCTCTCCATTGTGTCTTGTTCTTGCGTAGTTGTTCCTATTGTAAAGGGAAGCAAAGCCAGGAATAGACTCGGCCGCCATCTTGTGCTGTAGTGATATCCCCAGGACTGAGGACAGCTGTGCACTGCCCAGTGTTCACTGGCTATAAACCAATTTATGACCTAGTTTACTTGTGTATTAGCTCTGGATTTTGAGTTTTGTTTTTCTAATGATCAATGCTGAAAATAACACTTAGGTTTAATCATGTTACCCACTTTCTAAAAGGAATT